CAGCCTGTTTGAGTCCCTTTTACAACCTTTAAAATGAAGTTACGTTCCTTTGTGCGGGAACTACAATTTAACTCCGGTGTATGTTCCTCATTTAAATGTTTCGGTCATCTCTTGACCACCCTTCGTGACGCCTGTCCCCCTCCCCCTCCTCGCGACCATATCCCGTACATTCTTTAATCTATTACGACGTTGATCAACGTTATTTTCGAAAATCCGCGATAATAGAGGTCAATGAAATTGATGAATTCCGAAAAACACTCGCAGCCAGCAATCTCTCATTAAGCATCTGTACTAAAAACTGTGAAATTGGTCCCAGCTGGTTCCCCCGCTCGGCAAGCAGAGGGCTAGAGAATCACCGGTCGAGGATTGACTTCTTCTGTGGCGCTCCAGTACGTAGCACTTTGTACCCCAAAAAACTCAACTCATTCAGCTGTATCCATTATATGTGCATCAGATGAGGAAATAAATTCTGCCGTGCTAAGGATGAACGCCGTATGAACATTCGAGAGTTGCCTCATTTCCCATGATAAAACATCATTATTGACGAAATTTACTCATATTATTCCTTGAAATTCTCAGATATTTACAATTAAATTGCGTACGAACTTTTCTGAAAATTTTAGAGAAAATATTCAAAAATTTCTTGGTAAATTCTATTTTTATCGAGTGTAATGTGGCAATGTCTGAAGCACCATACGGCGTTCTTCCATAGCACGGAAGACCCTGAACTCTTGAAAATTTGACATGGCACTCGCACGGATTTGGAGGGATTTTCTGGAATTATGTAACCAAATGTTGGACGCTATCAAAGCGAAACGGAGCCCTGCGACGGCCGGACATCGGATCCGGGCGTCGGACGCAACCCTCATCAACACACAATTATAATAATGGAGATATGGAGTCCGGCCGGTGTGGGCGCGGGGCGGCGACAAGAGGAGCACGGGAAACAAATTAGGAGACTCAGCGTAAAAAGGATCAAGTGCTCGGTAAATCAATCAACAGCCTCCATCAACGAACCAACCCCAGAGCACCAATGAAAGGCCATCGCTGCCGCTACATCAATCATCGAAGGAAGAGCCATCGCGGTCCGCCCAATGGTTGCCGCACCAGTCTTCAAATTGGACTGCGTTAAGCAGAAGGGAACCAAGCCACATCAGCAGGGTGTGTAAAAGTCCAGAGTACTTTTTTTAAAGGGTGGTCCGGAAGTACTGAAAAAGTGTGGAAATACCTCAAGAAAGTCCGGAAATAGCACTTTTTTTAAAGGGCGGTCCGGAAGTACTGAAAAAGTGTGGAAATTCCGCAATTTCGCAATTTCCCAAATTCCGCGTAATTTTTGTCATTTTGTCGCAGTTTGAGCGAGAAATTCAAATTTTTAAAATTTCGTAAATTGGAGGTACTCAAAAAGAACTGAATTTTTTGTTGAAGAGGTAGGGAATTTCTTGAGAATGCACTGTAAAAGTACTGATTTTTGGCCAGCCTGTTTAAGTAGACATTAGACACCTTGAGCAGCCCTTGCCAAATTTAAATAGGAAATGTAATTTTGTACATAAAAACAGTTGTGCGGATTTTTTTTTGCAAATTTCAGTGAATATTCTGCATAGTTCGAAGCAAATTCCTTTACATTTTCAAAAGAACCCGCTATGACATTTTCTCGTAAAAAATGAACTTGCCCAAAAAATTTGGCAGTAACTGATGTGGCTTGCTTCCTTTCTGCTGAACGCGGTCCAATTGATCGGTCTTAGCTGAAATGAGGCAGTGGCAAGGCATTTTTGTAGGTTTGTTGGATAATTTCTCTTCCGTAAAATCTCACAAAAAAACTACATAAAACGAGGTCGGATCACGTCCTCCCTATCTTCGGCTGTATTGCACGTAACCCACGAAGCACTACTACAAATAAGACAAACGGGACCAACATGGTAATAGATGACAGGAGAGAACGCGCGCTGATGACGGCGCAGAGATACAACTATTCGTACGTGATGGATGTCCGTGTTGCGTCTGCAAAATTGAAGGCGCGATGGCGCGAGGCGGGACCTCGCTATGCTCCGGACTATGCTCACCATCATCAACGTCAGCTCACATTGTTGTCTTAGCGTGGATTGTGCCGTGCCTAGTGCCTCTCCCCCCTTTTTCAGGCAAAATTTTATCGAGTTGTATATGAATGCATCAAGTCACATGTTTGAACCGGGAAAAAGAGGTTTTGAGGTTTTGTACCACCGTAAGAAACAACCATGTAAAGAACGATGTTGAAAGGCCATTTTCACGTTCAAAATGCCTTTTTTTCGATCCTGAATATTGGACAGGGCAAAAATTACAACCAACGGGATTCAAAACAACTCCCAACTCATATCTTTCCAAAATGCGACTCGGATCGTTTCTACTAAATTTCGGTCAAATTTCGTACTAATTTTCGGTCAAATTTCTCCATCGTGCACGCTAAATAAGTTACTTACTGTTAGAAAGCGACGGGAAATCATAGGTTTTCAATCTAACAGGGAGTAAATGCACTCGCACTCCAAAAGTACGTGAACTCATTCAGCATAGTCTGCACCGTGCAACAGCGGCTAAAATAAGTACGTAGATTAATAATCTATATACGGAAAAAAAAGGGGAAAAAATTAAAATCTCGAACGGACGTGACTCCATTGGATGTTCAAAAAGACTCGCTAAGGAATCCGATCCTTTATCAATAATGAACGCCCGCTCGCAAAATCCATTAAGCCTCGCGCGCGATTGAACGGGAGCAAAAATCATCCGCGCGCAAAAGGCTTAAAAGCCCGCGCATTTCCGCCGTCCTGCGGAAGACAACCGTAACTCCACTCGGACCTGAGCCGCGGTCAGCGCGCACTCTCAAGCGCTTCGAGGCTCGCCGCCGAAACGGAGTTACTGCTCTTTCCCGTAGCTTTACGCTACCCCCCTCCCCCTCCCTCCCGAGGAATCGTTTGACACACGCGCTCAGTCACATACCGGATCCGACGCGGTGGATTATCTTTCAGAGTTAAAACAATGTCCGTGTAGAAGAATGTAATTATGGTTGATTATTTGGCTTAATGAAAGGGATGTGTCTGTGCCGGGGGAGGGGGGAGGTATTTTATAACGAGGGATAAATGCACGGTCGGCGGGGCGGAAACACAACCGCGGCCGGTTGTATTGGCTTGTCCCTTCGCTGCGTCCCTGTCACTATACTCGGCTCCACTCTATCGATCCCGGGCACTTGGTGATAACACCCGCGTCGATTCCACCGTTTCGCCTCGCGGCTTCGCCGAAGTTTTCCGGTGTGTACACCCTGTGGAAAGAGGACGGATACACCGGGAAAATACCTGGGAACCCCAAGTTTTTTGAAAAATTCGGAAGGCACTAGTGTAATTGTGTATACTGTTTAGAAAGAAGAAGGAGAGAATTAAACAATTGGTAAAAAAGGCTAAAATCATTAAAAAAACACCACAAGGCAGGACGTTTAGAGCTGTTACCTGCTCATTGTCAGCTGCAAAAACACAAAAAAAACAATGTCTGCCTCGGATGTTCGGTACTGAATTCCAGTGGTTACGTGATAACGGCTGGGGTCAGGTCGCCACTCAATTTTTTACTTGTTTTTTTGTGTTTTTGCAGCTGAAAATGAGCTGGTAACAGCTCGGAACGTCCTGCCTTTTAGTGTTGTTCAATGTTTTCAGCCTTCTTTACCCATTTTTTAATTATCTCCTTCTTCATTCGTATATTTGGGCTATGTTTTTGTGCTTTATCGCTATTCAGAAAGGAAACTAGGTAATATTCTAACTCAAATAGAACATGAGAGGTTTTTAAGCGCTCACCCGACAGGGAGCCCTTTTTTTATTTGAATCTGCCTTTAGAATTCTAGTATTCTAGTGGCAATGCGTTCTAATTGCACATCAACTCAATAACAAGATGGCGGAGAGGGACCTAACATATTTAAAATAGATTAATTTGCGATATCCTCATTTAACGCTTAGGTATGATATCGAAGCACAGAGGACGATACTCTTTTTCCTGTAATTTATTTTTTAAGCGGTAATGCATTTGTTTTCTCATAATTTATAGTTGAAATAATGGTGAGCAATTTTTTTCATCTCTATGGTGCTCACCTTCTGCGGGGAACTTAAAAACACGCCTACATAGAACATGGCTGAGCGCTTCTCAAAAACAAACGTATTAGAGCTTTCCCGGTTTTTTTCTCTTTTTTTTCCTCTTTTTTTCCTCTAGTTATTTGACTTATACTCCACTCGGAACCTCCAGCCATTCATGGAAGTTACGCAGTGTCCGCAAACATTAATGCGATAGCCATATCCATGCTTTGGGTCTCACAAATTTTCAAAGATTAAGGCCGAGTGAAGTATTTTTCAGCAGATCCATTTGATCAGTTCAGTGAAAATTTGTGGTCTTTATGGAGATCCGAATCTGGAACCTCTTGACCCAGATTCAGACGCGCTGACCAATCAGGTAACGTGAAGTGCGGTCAGGCTGATTCTGGATGAAGCCATCTATTTCGTTTTCTTTTGCCGCAGCCCATAGAGTGATAAAGTCATTGTAAAGACTGCCAACCGCAACAACACCGATGTAAAATGTTATCCTCTGTTGTCCTTTGAGCCGATTCAGTTTGTCCCCGTTGACCAACAACAACAAAAACACGGTTATTGCTCGGGTGTGTGCCTGTGTGGCAACAGGAAAATCGCGATCATTTTAATCCGGATTGAAGCGCAGGCCCTGTCAAACGTGTCACCCTCGTTGCAGCGGACCAAGCTCAGATTACGGATTCGACCAACAGCGTTTCCATGCCGTAAAATAATATCTCGTATCTCTTCCGGGTCAAATCTAAACTGAACAATCGCCACGGATCTGGGAGTTGTAAAGAACTCTGGTCACTTTTTCTTATACTGTGCATGTAAGTAGACGAGTAAAATTACATCGTTGAAACTGGTTCCCTTTCTTTCGTTTTGTAAACATTTTCAACAACTAATATCCTTCTTTTTCTTTTTCTGTTGCAGGTAAACACTTCCAAAATCCGATCATTCCTTCGCTAAAATGCCGCTCACTTGGAACCTGTGATTTTAACAGTTTTTCAAATTTTATATCTACTAGGCGATAATTCATTTCAATTTTGAGAGTTTTATTATAGGTCGTAACGCGCCATTGGAACAAAAATAAGCTTGATTGGAAAAAAAATAAATGTGTAAAAACCTCAAATGATAAGTGTCATGGGATGGGGGTTGTCAAAACTCAACCAGAAAATTATCTTAGATTCCATAATCAACGGGAAAGATGGAAATAATGTTAAGCTACGTTTTCAATCATTTTTTTAGTTTGGCTCTGTGTTTTTAGAGTTAATGTTGTTGTGAGTGGTTTATACATGAATGGTCGAAACATCAATATCAAAATTTATTAAAATTCATCCGTCCATTACAAAAATTATGTGCGAATTATCTAACAACAAAGAACGCGATTTGCATTAAATGTGTTGTGAAACAGCCTTGAGATATTTATTTGAAGGTCGTATTCTTATAGTATCGATGATGAGTTGATCCAGCGAGGATCAGTGGAAACGAACCGCATCTAAGTCATTCCTGACTGGCAAGTGACGTGGAACGTATTGACCGGAATTTAGAAGTCAAACTCGCTTCGGTCGAGAATGAGCTAATCGCGCCAAGCAAAGTTAGAAAACAAGTCGCTAGTGGTCTGCATCCGGTCGGTTTCGTCACGGGAATCTGAGAGCGGATTGCGGGACGGAACGACGGGGATGAACCGGGAGTGATGTCCGCCGGTTTCATCGACTCGCACACTAGCTACGCCTACGTCAATGACAGCTCGCAGCTCTACGGGAAGAAAAGCTACGGGAACGACCTCGACTACGGAACGGGAAATGGAAGCGACCGGTATCACGTGACGTTCAACAGCGGAACAGGGACGGGGACTGCGCGTCGGAAGCCGTCGGGCAAGTACACTGCCGTCGGTGATGGATATAGTTCCGGTGACGGGTACTACGGCTCTGTCTCTATGGCCCCCGATGAAGATCTCTACTCGAGGAAAGGTACGCTGGCTCCGTTGTAGGACCGTTGCAAACTTTTGCCGAATTTATCTCTCTGGGACAAAATGGGAAAATTTGGTCGGGTTTAGCAAAAACAGAGTGGCAAGGCCTTTTAACGTTAGGAAACACCTGGGAAAATCACAAAATTTTGCTACGGAACCTCGAAATTTTTTCTTCTACGCAAAAATTGCTCTTTAAAGATTCTAAGGAGAAATCGTTAAATATGGAAAATTCATGAAATATCATGTTCAAAATTCCTAAAAACTATAGAAAACAGGAAGTCTCTAGAATCAAATAGATTTTTTGGGGTAAAAGTTTGCAGCGAGCCCAACATTAAGTCAAGATGTAGAAACGAAAAAAAAGAAAGATGAAAAAAGGAGTCCGACTTTATTCGAACTAAAAATGAGGATAAAGAAACTTAAGCAGTAAAGTTGAAGAGTACAGTAAGATACTTAGAGAAAGAGTCGCAAGAATCAGGTACTTGTCAAGTTGTCCAAATTCATCGTAATATCATCCGACCTTTAAAAAGACAGTAAATGTCTGAATGATACGAGAAACACGATTTTGGAAAGACGTAAATTTTGCGCTAAGAAGTAATAGATACAAAAGGAGGAGGAAGAGTGAAAGGTGTGGGGAAGGTGGGAGTGGGTAGTAGAGCACTTAGAGTATTAACTGCTCGTATCGAACTCACGAAATACGATTAAACTTGCCTTGCTTCAACTTGCGAACACCTGGGTCCCGTATGAAGCAGACTTTTCTATCATGATTGGGTGACTCTATTTCGATAGCCTCGTTTGTCACTTGAAAGCTTGTTTACTGCTAACAGGGAATAGGTAATTAAAGTTGGTTTTCACTTACAACATACGATAGTTTAACTTCTCCATTTCTTGTTCCATATGGAGAGGCTCTTAAGGTGGGAGAAGAGACATCCCATTAGGTAAACTTGAATTCAAAAGGGACCTTTCAGAAAGAATATAAATAAATAATAAATAAATAAATTCAAATAAAAGCAAAGTGTAAGCTTCATCTACATCTCTCCTTTTGTATCTTCTTCAGCCTATCTGTTGACATTTTGGGAACGACCATGAATGCGGTCTTATAAATATGGTCGTAAGGGTTGATCCTTGAAAGGAACCTCTCCTCTGTAAATATACTCTTTCAAAGGGTCTTTAGGATATATTGTTCCCGACAGAAGAAAATATATTTTAGAGACCTAGCACTACTATCTCGACCTTTATTCAGGGCGTCTACAAGTTCGGAATTTCCGGAAAGTCCGGAAATAGTTTTGTTGAGGAGGTACTGAATTTTTTGGGAATGTACTGAAAAAGTACGGATTTTTGGCCAGTCTGTTTTAGTGGACACCCTGTTATTGTACACGAAGAAAAAAACTTCGTGCGTGGGACTCAAAGTTTAGGTCTTATGGATCTCTGAAGTTTTCGGATTGAGCATCCGAACACTTAAGGTCCAGCTGCTTTTGGATTACATATCTCAAACTTCAGCTCTTACGTCTGAAGTACTTCGGTTCTCGTATCCGAAAAACTTCGGTTCTCACATCTGAAGTACTTCAGATGTAAGAACTGAAGTTTTAGATGTGTGATCCGAACCTCGGCAGCTAGACTTAAGTGTTCAGATGCTCAATCTGAAAACTTCAGATATCCATATGACCTAAACTTCGGGTCCCACGCACGAGGTTTTTTTCTCCGTGTAAAAGTTTCTTCCGGCAGTTCACGCTCAGATTCTCCAAATGCTAACAGATGATCGAAGAGAGAGATCGAGAGAGTACCTATATGGGGAGAACACGGACACATTGAAATATGGAGCTCTTAGGGCCCGAAAGGGCAGCCGATCTTTTGACTCAAAAAACACAAGCAAAATGCTGCTGCCAATCTTTAGATTCCATTATCAAACTAAGATGTCTAAGAATGTTCATAAATTAGTGTTTTTCCGCGAATATGATCAAATTTATGCAAAAGTTAAGTCAAATACGTGCTTAACAAACGAAGGGTCGTAAAAACTCTAATGAATAAGTCACTAGACAGAAGAATAAGTCAAAAATAAATGTCAAGACATGTAAAGGCCGTAAAAAACAAAAACAAACAAATTCACATCAAAAGAAACATATGTAGAAGCTCGGAGTACGGGGGAAGTTCCGGGTTTTGGAGGAATAGGTTTTTAGCTCACCTAAAACTTGTTCCGGGAACAAGTTCCTCGAACTAAGTTCCGCTCGTGTGGACAAGGCCTTAGTGCGGGGTCTCTAAGATATCTAACCTCTGTATGAGACGATGCCATAAAGGGTAACTGTGGTTGTTAGGGACGGTGGGTCAGACGAACATCATGAGCTCGTACGGGGTCTACGGGGAGGAGACGGACGACGGCGACGAGGAGGGGTTCTCGAAGACCTCCAAGGAGACGGCCGTCTACTACCCGGAGCCGGTCCTCGTCGTCTCCAAGCAGAAGGACGGCTCCACGACGAGCGTCCTCCGCTCGGCCGCGGATCTGGAGGCCCGCGGCGGGGGTCGCGGAAGCGGCGCCGGGTGCTTCTGGTGCTCCTGCTCCGAGAAGCGGCCCAACCTCGACGTCGACGACCAGATGGCCTCCTTCGACACCTCCGGCTGGTGCAAACCGGCCGTCCTGCTCATCGTGCTAGTTCTCCTGCTCGTCCTATTCTTCGTCGTCTCCGGCATTCTTCTCTACTTCAATTGTAAGTATTCCTCTTCATAACCATGGAGCCGTCCGGAATGACGTCATGATTTCTTGCGAAAGGGTCCAGTGGCGTGGCGTGCTTTACGATTTATCGATTGATATGTCATTTAAACCTATGGGAAAAAAATCGATAAACGGGGCGTTCGCAGCGAACACCTTAATAATCGATTCTTTACCACAGGTTTAAATGGCATAACAATCGATACATCGCAATTCACGCCACGCCACTTAAAGGGTCCTATGCTGCCGTGCTAAGGAAACACACCGTATAAGCATTCGAATATTGACAAATTGCCTCTCAGGAAATATTTATTTTTGAAGAAGTTTGTGAATATTTATCCTTGAAATTTTCAGGCCCTTTGGATGAAATTATGAGCGAAACCCTCCGAAATACCTATTTGCAGAAAAATATTTACAAATTTTCCCAAAAATTCGTGATTAATCGAGGGAGATTTCGCATCTCATGAAGGCGCATACGGCGTGCTTTCTTAGCACGGCATTATGGTTCCCAATATGTACTTGAAGGGGGAAAGGGTGTCAAAAATCGAGAAAAAAAGAACTTGACGTCATTTATGGACGGTCTCTGTGTTGTTACTGTAGTTATTTGTTATTTGCTTAACTCTGCCAGTCCGAGTAGCGCTGTTGTCAAAAAGAAACATGCTTTCCTTGAGTTACGATTTTTTTAGGAGCGTTCCGCGCCGAAAGGAGGATTAGAACCCTTCCTAATAAATGAAGGAGTAGATTGAAAAGGGCTTGTGACGGCTCTGAAAGATTTTTTAATGATTCCAAGAATTGGGTCCTCAAATGCCAAAAAGGATCACTGCGATAGCCCTTTCGGCCAACGTTTAGGGAGCAAAAGTTCCCTAGCCACCCGGGCTATAATAGTCCGCTCCTGATCCCAAGCGCTTACTCGTGAGTATAGGTTCACTTTTCTTTCTCCTTTTTAAGGAAGAAGGAAGGATTATTTCAGCCTTTGTCGTAAGCTCGGTTACAAGCAAGCGCTCGCATTAAGTATGTACGAGCCTTTGTCAAGAACGCAATGCTACATGAATCAAAATTGTCACGTTCGTTTTTCTCGGTAGTAATTTTAGACCGCTAAACTAACAATAAAAAACACTCGGTCGACGAAAAAAGTGGTTCACCTCTCGGCCTCGGCGCACACCGGATCAAGATATAAGAGGGGTCGGACATTGTGTAGAAATTTTAAAAGTTTATATCTTCGTTAATACAAAACGCAAAGTTTAACAATTATTCCATTGGGTTTTTCATAGAATTTACTTAAATGAGGCTCCCTTTTAATTTATAATGTAATGAAAGATATAACAAAATTGCCAATTCTAGTCAAAAATTTCATGTCAGATCTCTTATAAAAGTTCGCTCTACCGCGGGCTGATTGTTGAAATTGCTAGACAAAGTGATAGACAAAGAAGACAAGAAGAGTATAGAGGGATCCAATTGTGAAAGCGGGTGGTTGCGATGGACAAAAGCGGAAAGCAATAGACTAACTAACGGCAACCCATGTGAGACCCTATATACGGAAAAAAATACTTCGTGCATGAGACCCGAAATTGAGGTCATATGGATCCCTGAAGTTTTTGGAGCACGCATCCGAAAAGAGGTCGAGCTGCCGAAGTGTGGGTCAGACATCTGAAGTACTTCGATATATACCGAAGGGTTTAGGTCTCACATCTGCAGGCTGATTATTTACTTCCCTCATCTATTGACCTTGATGGATGCGGGCTGCGGATCTATGAGACAGAGATTCCGAGCGATTCAGAACTAATTTCAATAGATCCAGCTATAGATCCACTGATAGATGCGGATCCCCCGGCCCTAAGGCAGTAGATGCGGTGACATCTATTAAAACTGTGCTTCTGATTGGCCGACTGGTACTGCCGCGGCGGGATTCGAACCCACCATCGCTCGGATTGGTATAGACTGAATATCGACGCCGCTATCCACTGCGCCACGGTAGCTGATAAGACGGAGTTGAGTAAAACACGATAAATGATCTATTTGGAGGTTAGGTTTCCTACGCGCTTCTTCTTCTTCACTCGGTGAATCAAGGTGTCTGATTGATTAGAACGATTATTTTCATCTCAAAGCAATCGTTCAACACTGTATTCCAATTCTGCTGATCTATCGCTCATCCATCGGATAGAATCACAGTGTAGAATCACAAATAGTTTGATCATAGATGCGCGATTGATGAGATTTGCAGATCTATAGCCGAGATCTATGAAAGTAAATAATCAGCCTGCTGAAGTGCTTCGCACATACCGAGGTACTTCAGATGTCTGACCCGAACTTCAGCAGCTGGACCTCAAATTTTCGGATGCTTGATCCGAAAACTTCAGAGATCCAAATGACCTCAACTTCGGGTCTCATGCACGAAGTATTTTTCTCCGTGTAGTTAGTCAGTCCTTTACTCTCTTTGTCCATAGGAACCACCCATTGCAACCAATAAGATCGCTCCAGGCTCCATTCTCCCTATGTATTCTTTGTCTATACATTACAATTAAGAATCAGCCCGGTGTGCGGCGCACCCTTAAACGCAGCGACGCTGGGAATAAAACATGACTCGGCATCGAGAGGTAATCCGTGGCGGAGGGAGACGGAACTTTTTAAGACCTCGTCCTCGCACAGCTCCTGGCGATACGACGGTAATGACAGCCATAACAATATTTCCAGTCGTCCATAATTGATTCGTCCTTCCCAAGGATCGACCTCGAGGAGTCGCACGGTTTGTTTGAGTTGCTCCGGGGGACGGCACCGGAGCCGCGGATCCGGCTAATAAGTTGTTTTTCGATGCTCCATGTTCCTATAGTTTAAAAATTCAGTCTTCGGGATAGTCTTACCGTCTCGAAGGCTTTTAGTGACGTCATTCGGTAGAGGGCACCCTCCCCCCGCCCCCTTTGCGTTTCAGAAGGCCTAGATAAACTAGAAAAATTGATCGAATTCCGGAAAACTTGATTTTTTTCTCTACGTAGCTATAATGTTAGGGGTCATGCCAGATAACCACCCCCCACCCCCCGGTTTTGGTGACATGAATGACTTCACTGAAGGTTTGGTCGCTAGCTTGAGCTTTAATCACGCAAGAGGGCGGTGTCTTCAAAAAGGGCCATTCAGAACGTCATAAATCTCTGATTATTTTATTAATTTTTTTTTTTTTTTTTTTTTTTTAGGAAATAACATTGTCTTCGATGTCAAGCAGAATTATTTGCTTGAAAAATTGTATTTTGTCCAAATTAATTTTTCGTCCCTCAAAGTCTCAAATTTTTGAGGGAAGTAATTGTTTTAAATTTAAATGACGTTTCTATTTATTTTAAAGAAGTATAATTTTCATATCGATGACGTGTGATGGATGTGAACCTTGCGAACAGCTATGTTGATGAACCTTGAACAGCTTTTCTCGTTTGAGATAGTGTTTTACATCCGTGCCAAAGTATAAACGAAGAAAAAGAAAGAAAAAATTCGTTCTTTTGAAAAATGCGAAATCTCAAAAATGCAGTGTTGAATATGAACTGAGCTTAGACTTAGATCCTCGCAGTCCAAGTTTTTCCCTCTGTATACCTCCTATGCTGCCGTGCTTAGGAAAAACGCCGTATGAACATTCGAGAGTTGCCAAATTTCCTTCGATAAAATGCTTATTTTTTTAAGGAAATTTATGAATATTTTTCCTTTAAATTTTCAGAACCTTTAGGTAAAATTGCGAACTAAACTATCTGAAATTTGGGAGGAAAATATTCATAAATTAACCAGAAAATTTGCGTTTTATCATTGGAAATTTGGCAACGCCTGGAGGTTCATACGGCGTTTTTCCTTACCACGGCAGTATGGTTGCTAATATTTTGCACGTTGGCGCGGGATTTAAAGCCCCATCGGAAGCGGCAACACTGCGTCTAAATACGTAATAATTAATAATCAGCGCGAGTCGCGGGCTATTTATTCTGTGTCATGTCGGTGGTAGCGGCTCGGGACACGAGACAACATGACCTTTAAAAAAGGAAGACTGCCGGCAAAGAAAAGGAGGGAAAAGCAGGCAGGAAGCAGATCAATTTTCAACACGTACGCGTCGCTTCGTCGTTTACGCGCCTTTGCCAGTTTTTTTAAAATCACCTGAAATTTATTTTAACGCTTACCGTAAAGTCTCAAGCCTAATCTCGTAAACAGGGGAAATGGAATTTGAAGTTGCGTTTTCCCTAATACCACAATGACGATTAAAATATGCTTTAAAATGTTTCACAGAAAACAGTGAAATGATTCTGAGATGTTCCTGTAAAACGGAGAAAAAGTTAGCACATCTCGTGAAAAACTTTGAAACGTTTAAGAACATCGGGCATGGTGACGTGTATGTGTTATTTTTTAGTAGGTTTAAGGCTATTTTTCAATTATTTTAATACACATTCTTAAAAAATTCCACAAAATAATTTTTGAAATGTTTACAGGAATAATCATTCCATCTTCCTTTCCTGTTTTAAAATTGTTGTCAAAAATGAGTTTCTTAAAATCATCTTTTAAAAAATCTCCTTTATTTATCCTCAAAACTAAGTATGTCATATTTTAACATTTAAAATGATTCTCTGGAACCATAATCGCCAAAGTTGTTTTCTGCTTAAAAATATAGTTTGACTATTTCACTTAAAATTGTCTCCTCAAGATCAAAATATAACGTTTTGGAAGCAAACTTGTTTATTGGTAATGATGTATCTATGCTTGTTCCATGAACTCCTATTTCCCTTCAGAGGGGCTCACATGGTTCAACGTAGTGATCCAGGGAGGTTTTAGGTGGACTTTAATACAGCATCGTAAAAAGGACGAATTTCAGAAAAGCTCTCTTAGAGCTGTCAGTTCCAAATCTATATATTACTCTGAAACATCAATTTTTGCATGTGTATAGCCGAAAACATCGCATCAATTCTACGGGGTCGGTTTATTTAAACGGAATCGATTTTAACCAATAAAGAATGAAAATCAAAACGATTTTAGTCAAATTTT